CTGCCCTGGGCCCCGGGAACCTGGGGCAGGTGGTCTCTGTGACTGCACAAGAGGCCCGTGCTGGGCCGTCCCCCCTCAGGGACCCCAGGGACACCCAGCTGGCCCTGTGCCCGTGGAGCAGCAGGGGGAAGGGGCCCCGCACTCACATGGTATGAAGCCCATGTAGAAGGGTATCAGGCCCTGGCTGTTGTGGATGGTGTTGCTGGGCCAGTACGTTCGGGGCAGCCTCTTGCCCAGGGCACAGATGGGGTTTCTAGACATGAACTGGGGAAAGGGCAGGTGTGACCGGCAGGCTGCCCCCACCCGGTATCCAGCTGCAAGTGACCGGCAGGCGGGGCTGACATTTGAGTGGTTAATGCTGGGGGCGGGGGGGTCTTATCCCCTCCTCACCAGGTCTGGAGGCTGCCCATGACCCATCTATCCTGGGGGTGGGGAGCCAGCCCGCCAATCCCAGGGGGTGGGCCCAAGGCTGCTGTCCTCATACCTGGCTTTTGTCAAACTCGTCCATGGCCTGTGTGACCCCGTTTTGGTAGTTCATCCCCATCACCCAGGCGTACCGGGGGATGAAGCCAGCATAGCCTGGGGAGGAAGAGGTCTGGTGCCACCTCAGGTCCCCTCCACCGCCCACTGCTCCTACTGCCCGGGAAGTCCGTCCCATGGGCACCTCCATGTTGGGGCCAGATAGGCATGGGCTTCTGGGTGCTTCCAGCCTCGCGGAAACGTGGGCAGCCCTTGCTCTCACACTCCTGCTGGGCCCCCGGGCCTTGTGGGGTGTCCTCCCGCCCAGGCCCGGCACCCACCTGAGATGGCCTTGCGCTGAATCAGGTTGGGGTGGTCCAGTTGGGGCAGCCTGTGGAACCTGGCTACGTCGAGGGTCTCGACCTGCTGGTGGCCTGGGCTGGGGCACTCATCCCTCCTGCAGTGGTACAGCTGGGAAGGGAGGGGGCGGGTCACCACCCCCACTCCCACCCCCACCCCCACCCGGGTCTTGTTGGGGTGAGGCTGGTCCCAGTGTCCGTTACCTGGTGCTGCCCAGGGGCCTCTCGGAGGGGGGTGGTGGTCGTCCAGGCCTCCTCCCCATATGCCAGCCGCAGACCCGGGTGCCCGAGATCCCCAGAGTCCACCTTCCTGCCTGGTGGGCACGGGGGGTAGGGTGGGTAGGGCATGAAGCCCGGAGGCAGTGGGACCTGCCAGCATGCGCTCTCTTCACCCGGAAGACCTTCAGCCTCCGCCAGCTGCGGGGAGAACTGGCCCAGGACCTCGAAGTTCTTGAAGGGCTTCAGACCTGTGTGGACAGGGCAGCGTGAGCAGCAGCAGGGCGGGAGGCGCGGAGGCCTCGGCTCACCCGTGTAGTGGGGGATGTAGGGCTCAGCCAGGTCCCGGCAGGGGATCGAGGGCGGCTGGGGCTTGCTGAAGTCCTCGATGAACTTGGGCTTGGAGATGGGGGACAGCACGGAGCACGGGCTCTTCTGCACGCTGGGGTCGGTGAGCAGCTGCGCCGTGGTCCGCCCGTAGGTGTTCCCCACCTGGTAGCGCAGCTGCGGGTAGAAGCCGGCATAGCTGGTGGCGGGGAGAGAAGGAAGGAGGGGGCAGGGCCGGTGGGCGGGGGCAGGAGCCAGC